GCTCCCGGTGCCAGGCCCCGGGTCAGCCTGAACCCTGACCGAGGGGACCCCCCCACCCCGGCCTCACCGCGGAAGGGCACCCCCGTCTCCTCCCCGAGCACCCAGCCAGCCTTCTGCTCGTCCCGTCGTGCCCCAGCTCTGCTCTGCCGCTGCACCTCACCGCGGAGCGAGGAGCTGCGCCTCCGCCACAGCCACAGCCGTGCCCCCGCTCCCTGCACCCTCGCCAGGCTGGTGAACAGCCTCCTCCAGGGAGCTGGGCCACCTTGTTCCCTGGGACTGCGTCCTCCTCCCAGAAAACCAGCCCCCGACACCTCGTTGGGACCACACACCTAACATCTCTAAGACCCCTCTAACAACTCTTTCCTTACGCTTGTACTGCAGAAGCAGCGGCACGAGCAGCACGGCAGGCTCAGGCGGAGGACCTGGAGAAAGTGGATATTGAACATGTGGAGAAAGTGCTGCCACAGCTGGTATGTAACTACAGAAGCTGTAGAAGCTGAACTGCGCTTGAACAGGATAAGGATGTGGGCTGAAGCAGCTTAATCCTCTTCCTTCTGGGAGATATTCAGGGACCCCGCAGATGCGCTGACTGGCTTGCTGCTCTCTCCTTACAGCTTCTAGATTTCTAGAGGCCTCATGAAGCACACGTGGCCTGCCAGCAGAAGATCCTGACAGTGAACATCTGGCTCATCCTCAGAGTCTAGCTCTAGGAAGAACAGTCTCAACTTCTTCTTTCTCTGCCATTTTGCTTCTGTTTCCCCTCTCCTTTACCGAGCGTGACAAAGCCCTAGGCAACTATGCTGTCAGTGCTATTTTTGAAAAGAGGCTGCCACACGCTTGTTTTGGTCAGCTAAGTGTGTAACTCGTTTCTATCGTGCTGCCTTACTCCTTTCACAGTAGCCCGTACTTCACAGCACGGCAAGATGCTGTTGCTTTCTCAGCTAATGTGAGAAACAGGTGCTGCTTCACAGAGATGCATGGAAAGACTTAATGGCTGGAAATGTCGTCCAAACATCAGGCTCTCATCGCCTCAGCAGGCAGCTGTGGCAGAATCTTTAGGTCCAGCTCCAAGCCTGCCTAATGAATAGGTTGTTAACAGGAGCTCAGTCACAGGCTCTTGCCAAAAGCAGGTAACTGATCTTTATTTTATAAATAAACAGTGTCTGTCCCTCACTACCTTCCAGTATTTCTCCAGGGCTGTGACATCAAAGAATGCTTGGAACCTTTTAACCATTTGATATTCTCCTCAGAAGCTGCTTCCCCTCTGCTATAAATTTGTTCTCACAAAGAAACATCAATAAATTAAAACCGAGTCACCCTCCCTTGTGTAGGCTCTTTGCTGCAATTAATCATCGAAAGTCAAGTTGCTTCAAAGACTTGCAAAGTTTCCCCCTCACCCACCCTCTTCTCTAAATCTTTGTAGGACGAAAGGAAAAAGGACAGAATAACAAACAGCATGTGTGAGAATCCCACATCATGGGACAGCCTGGCCCCTCAGCCAGCAGGGGGGCCGGGGGGGAAGCTGTGAAATAAGAAACCTTACACATGTAGGCAGGACCCACACAACTGAACTGGCTTTGTTGGGAAATACATAGCCGGCTGCACGAAAAGCAGCTGACACCAGCGTGTCTTAAGGATTGCACACTCTCTGTTGTTGGCTAGCTGTAGTCTTTATGATTAGTAATAGCGAGCAATTTTTTTCCCATTGACAGCTGTAGCAGGCGAAGGCTCAGTAGCTCACTGTACTCTCTCGGCCAAGAGCTATCAAGGTCATCACGCAGGACACCAGCCACTTGGAAACTTCAACTAAAACCACAATTTAATACACATTCTTTCTGATGACAGTACCAGCTTAAGCAGCGCCCCATCCCTCTGCACTGCAGCCTCTTTGCCAAGACAACTGTTTGTGCAGCTGTACAACGAAACCAATGAAGGAACTGACCTAGTTCAGCCTTCAGCCCCACAACCGTATGGTAAAAAAAAGGCAATAGCAGAAAAATGCAATACTACCTTTGAATGCCCCAAAACCCCAGGGGTGAGTTCAGCTACTGTAGCAGAAGTGATACTGAAACAAATCCAGCTCATCAGGTATCTGCATGTATTGTTCTGTGGCAGGGTAGGAATCCTTGCAGCAACTACCTTAGCGAAGAGGCTGCAGTTTTAAATATCGGGGCATCTTGTCCCTCTTAAAGAATGGACAAGCATGAGCAGAACTGGCTGAGGTAATGCACATCGTTAGCAATATGAAGTCTCCTAATCCTCACCCCCGTACTTAACCCATGAAACTGCCCCAGTAATGATGATATTGCTGCTTGCGTCCCTAGACTTTTCCTTCTGTTTTCCCGTATCAGGTACTTGCAGGTGATAGTTACGGTGCTAGCTCTTTGTCAAAACTGGTGGAATCAAAATAGCTAAGCAAATCAGTAGTAGTTGATGTTGCCCGTGCTCTTCAAAAAACAAGACTAGCACATCTGAAAGCACACTACAACTTGCTACCGACCAGACTGCCTCTGTTTATTCTAACCCTGTGAATCAAAAACACCAGCACAAGTATATCATCACCTGTCATTAGCTGTGGCTGTTAGATGGCCCCTGATACATCCTACACAAATTCAGCAAAGCAGCTCTAGCTACAGTCTACCTCTGACTTCTGTGAAATGAATAAGCCTGACATAGCACCTGAATCAAGATACAGATAGTCCTATGGAGTGTAGGCTCAGCCCACACTTAATACACTAAAGTAATAAACTTTAAGCATTAGTTTAATATTTTTTGTTTTGCTATAGTACGCCTTTTACAGCCTGGCAAGTGCAAGAAGGGCTCGCTTTCCACAGTAAGGATTTAAAGCAGCAGCTGTACATAGTGCTCTTGCATTCCCCACTGCCAGCGGCCACACACATTCCCTGTTTATGTTTGGGTGTCATATAAGAAATCAATCAACATTTTTGCTAAAGCATTCTGCTCCCTCTACTTTGAGTCTCGTTTTTCCTCTTCCACCTTTCTTTCATGCCTCCCCCTCCCTCTGAGTTTCTTCAAAGCATTTGGGAGCATTTGGAAGTAATTAGACCTGAAGGGAAATGTTGGCCAGGCTGGGAGACAATGACAAGTGCCAGGAACCCTGGGTGCCCTTTCTAGCCACTTTGAAGTTCATTCAGATGGTACAAAGCTCTGTTTTGCTTTGTTGAAAAAAAATGGGAGGAAGGGAATGAGGCATGACAGGCCCATTGAAAAGGGAGCAGGTTCCTGTGAACTGACAGAGAAACGGAGCACTGGGGGAAGAAACATATTATCAAAGAGACCGACAAAAAGGCCTCCTATGGCCACTCTGCTTTATTACATCTACAAATTGTGCAGATGCACACGTAGTTCAGGGAACAATTGTCTATACAGGGAAAATGGAAAACATGTTATTACCGTAACACGGAACCCCAGCTGTCCAATATGAATCACCGATCCATGGAGAAGACTTCAAATAAAATACAGCGCCACGGCTACTGTGGCACTATAGAGTTCATCTCCAGTATGAGCACAATTCTAGCCAACAATATTCATCCCAGTACAACATCTGCAGGAGGCAAAGATCTGGACTAGTGCTTCCCTCTGTACGCTAACTGCACTGCAGAGAACAGCTACTCCGCTGTGGAAACATTCGGACCATAGAAGTCCGTAGATCGAAGGTCATGGGATAAGACCCTTTTACTGGATGTTTTTTTCCTCCACTGTAACTGTAATTACTGATGTTAATTATATGTAGTGAAAATAAAACACAAAGCTTGGGGCAGAAACAAACTCCACATGCATTCCATTAACAGATACCTGTGTTCTTTGTTAACAAGTTTCTGGCAACTGAAAACAAGACAAGTGCAGCAGACCAAGAGGTTCACAGGAAACGCCTATTTGAACTCTTTTAAGTGACCTAAGTGGTTCCTCTTCACCCACTTTCCAGCCATCTATGCCCAGAATTATCAGCAGCACTAACCCCGGCCAGCAAGAAGCAGAGAGAAGTCTTGTTCTAGGCAGCACTTAACTATAGGTAAAACTGAATCGGATTGTATCTTGCTGCTAGAATTCAGGCAGCTAGACTCAAGTTATCTCTGAAGGTAGAACTGGGAAGATTCGAATTTAAAAATATGGATAGAAACAAAGTCCTTCATAGGAATTATTTCCCCCTTAATTCTCTATTCATGTTATTTGCATGCAAGAAACCTTAAATTTAACCTCTAACCTTGCTTCTGTAGTCGCGAAGACCACAAACAGGCCTTCCACTCCTCCAAAAGGTGAAACTGGCATCTGAAATAGCAATTTTCTATTTATAACTAATGTTCATACAGATTAGATCTCTCCAGGGCCACCAACAACTTCTTACACATTCTGAATAAGTTCATCAGGAAAGAGGCACAGCTGACTGCTCACTGAGCCAGCAGCCCAGAATGTTTCATCTCTTCCCACCTACAAAATAAACATAAGAGCATTAAAATACTTAACCACGTAATTTGCACTGTATCGTTTCTCAATAACATGATCTGCTTGCTGAGGGTTCTATACCCTGCTGTGCTCAGGCAACAGTTGGGTAGCATGTAGGAGCACGTCTTAGGGAGATGGAATGGTGAATACATCATAACTTTTCGGAGCAGGAAACTTCATCCTACATATTATTGACATGCATGTTAGAGCACGTTATTAACCTTTCATACCAGCTGTTAATGGGTAACCTGCACAGGTAGGTGAGATGTTATTTCGCACTTTATCCAGATAATCTTTACTTGGGAGAGAAAGTTCTACTCTTAAGTGGAATCCTTCAAGCATATGGGAAACAGGAAACAGTAAAGATACTGTTCCCCACATGATCTGCATCAGTATCCCAGTACCAGTCTAAAATAGGCCAGCCACAGCAGGGAAACACACCAACCCACTGTTTGCAGCCTTCCAGCAATCATTTCACACCTTATGCTATGCTTGCTGGAGCTGATGGCCTCACAGTACCTTCCAGAATCAAATACTAAAATTCTCATTCAGGAAGTTAACATTTGGCATTATTAGCCAGGAAATTCCATATAATTCTTCCTAGTTTTATTGCCATTAAGGGGGTTGATTGAATGTCTTCTCTCCCCCCCCCCCTCTCTTTGCCACTGCATCAAAAAATGAACATTGCCAATTATTTAATTCAGGAATCCTTCTAGTTACTTCATATTTTGTATAAATTCTCATATAAAACCACACATAAGCTATTGGTTCTGAGACTAAAAACAAGGTTGCAGTTTTCTGATCAGGATAAACCAAGAAAAAATTCATAATGGAAACTTGGTTGCAATCTTAACTATGGAAAATCACTACTGTTTTGCCGTGAAGATTAAAAACAGAAAGACCAACTCAAAAAAATGAAGAGAAAGGAAAGTACTAAAACAGACTGTACCAGCAAAGGAAAAACAACAGAGGTTTAACAGATGACATGGGCCCTTGGTATGT